AGAAGTGGCCGTATGAGGATCACAGCTTGCCAGCCCAGGCTAAGGTATGGCACCCTATCTGAAAAGCAGACTAAGCGTAAAGACTGGGGAAGGGCTGAAGTGGTAGAGCCCTTACCCAGTAAGTCCAAGGCCCTGAGTTTAATCCCCACTGCAGAAAAAAAAAGAAAAAATCTATCTATCTATCTATCTATCTATCTATCTATCTATCTATCTATATATGTGTGTGTCTGTGTGTGTATATGTGTGTGTATGTGTGGTGTGTGTGTGGTATATGTGGTGTGTGTGTGGTGTGTGTGTGTGGTTAAAAGTTGTAATACACACATGGAATTGCTTCTGAAAGATGGACTGTAAATTATTTAAATCTTCCCCTTTTACTGCACTCTTTCAAATTTTTCTATAATGATGATGTAGTAAATAAATTTTTAAAAAGAAATTATTAATGCAGTTATTGTTCTACATCATGGAGAAAACCTTATTACCTAACCTGCCAGTTATATTAAAATTAATATTCCACTGAATTTTTGGGGGGTGGTAAGACTGGGGTTTGAACCCAGGGCTTCATAATTGCAAAGCTCTACTGCTGGAGCCACACCTTCAGTCCATTTTGCACTGGTTATTTTGGAGGTGAAATCTCACAAACTATTTGCCTTGGCTGGCCTTGAACTGAGCTCTTCCTGAGCTCAACCTCCTAAGTAGCTGGGATTACAGGCATGAGCCACAACACCCAGCTTCAATTCTACCACAATTTTTAAAATAAAGCATCTTCCTGAGTTTTGGCTCCACCATTATCACTCTCTCCAATCTCGCCATGTGTGATGACCATCATGAATTATGTGGAGTGCACAGGGCAAGCCGGACGTGGCCTGCACAGTGGAGTGGAGCAGGAACCTGAGGCCAAGGTGGAAATGGCGCCAGACACCCAGAACAGTTCATTGCAGCAATGTTCAGACCCTCGTCTCTTTGCCTTCAGTGTCAACTGTGACATTCCAAAGCTGTCAGCTTCTAGGAGAGTCCCTGAGCAGACACCACAGAGGGATGTGGACAGGAAGGAGAATTAGAATGTAAGTCCCACCCTGGGCTGGGATGTAGCTCGGTGGTACAGCGCTTGCCTAGCATGCGTGAGGCCCTGGGTTCGATCCCAGCACCAAAAAAGAAAAAGACAAAAAAAAAAAAAAAAGTCCCACCCTGATACTGACAGAAGATTTAGGGAGATTTGGAGGCAAATGCGCCCAAAGCTTTTGCTGTGCACGATGAGTGTCAAGAGCTCATGAGTCAGGATTCCATTTCTGGGAATCCATCCTCAAGACACACAACAAAAATGTGTGCAAAACTGTGTTCTGGAACACCAGTGCGATGGTTGTCTTTTGCTAATTAATTTTGTGGTTACAAAAGAAATATGTCCGTTGTAACAGCCAAAATCATCCAGAGACCTATTTTCCAAAAGCTAAGCAGAAGAAATCTTCCTCTCTCTCAAACAGTTTCCATTCTCTCGATTGCTCTAAATAATTCAAAGTTAGAAAATGAGTGCATATCCTTCCATGGCTGACTAACAGACATATGCACAGGGTTTCCTCTCCAATTAAAAATAAGCTTTGTACTGCTTATTACATTACAGTCAACAACATTTTCACAGATGTCTTTCCACACCAATATATTCTGACAGTTAAAAACAATTTTTGCATAATTTCTGTTAAGCATTTGAGTTTTTCCTAGCTTCTGGCTGTGACATACAGTCATGAAACTCCTTTGCATGTGTATTTTTCAACAGGGTCCAGTTTATTTCTATAAGGAAATCCCCCCCTTCATGAAAAACTGGATTGCTGGATCAAAGGCCATAGATCCATATATATGTATACATGTACGTTTGTATTTTTGAAATATGTTAATATACTTCCCTTTTTTATTTGCATTTCCATTTGAACAATGAGCTCTGCTTTGCCACAGGAGAATCCTGACTGATGGATTGAAAGATGGAGTCGGCTTTCTACAGCCAAAGAGGAAAGAGGTTTGCACAATATTGCCAGGCAGCAGCCTGAGTGCCTCTGCAGGAGTGGGGTAGCACTTCAGCTGTACAGGCCCTGAGAGGATGAGCTCCGAGGGCAGCCTTACACCCAGAGGGTCATGAGTGAACCAGACAGCTCCCGGCCTGGGGTAATGCCCAGCTTTCTGTAACCACCCTGGGCAGACAGATTGGGGCAGAGATAACCTTGTGTCCACCAGCTCTGCCAGTGATGTGGGCAACCAACCCATTCACCTGTCTTGGTTTTCCCCATCTGTAAAATGGGGGTCCTGATACTCACTGAGATAAAATAGAGAGTTCTTGCTCTGGTGGCTGATTCACAGAGAACCACAGAAAGGCAGTAATTATTTTCTATAAAAAGCCAAGGAGTGGGGAAGAGAGGGTCCCTGCCTCCTGACTGCCTCAAGAGCTCTTGGAGGGCACTAACTACCAGCGTGTCCCTGTCCCCAGCGGAGGCAGGGGGAGGCAGTGAGTCAGCTCTCGAATATCCTTGAGCAAATGAAATGAATATCCAGTTCCGGGAAGAGACCCTAAGGCACCTCTTCAGGCTCAGACGTTGAAAGTCCCTCAACAGTTTGGAAGAAGGCGAATGATAGGTAGCTAGATAGGTAGGTAGATGATTGATAGGTAGACAGATAGATAGATAGGTAGAGGAATAGAATAACTGTAAGATGTAATATTTATTATGTTATTACATCTTATATATATATTAACTTACTTTTTGTCTACTTGACTTTTACACTTCAATTAATTTGTATTTATTTATTTCTTGGTGATGCTGGCATTTGAACTCAGGGCCTCACGCTTGCTAGGCAGGCACTCTCACCACCTGAGCCACGCCCCCAGCTCTATTTGACTATTATGAACAGCCAAAAGTGACTCATTGTCTCCTAATGCTAGGATTTTCTATTTATTTCTTCCTGCATCACCTGCATGCTTTGCTTTAGAAGTATTAATGCTGTGCTGTTTGTTTGGTATGTAGATTTTGCAAACATTGCGTCTTCAAAGGCTTGCACTCTAACACCATAAAGTATCGGCTTTCATTCCCTTCAGCGCTTTTTTCCCTTTGGCCTGGGTCCCAATGCTTGGTTGTATTGTGGAAGAAGCCGAAGAGCCCCAAGGTTGGCACGACAAGGTCACCTGTGCTCTCCAAATAAGAAGCAAGGGCAATCGGCCCACCTTGGGAGTTCTCTGATGCACCCCAGTGGACATCCCTGCCACGTATGGGCACAGCAAACACATGTCGCCATCAGACTCCCTGCTTTCTTTTCTTCTGCATTAGCATGGTGTTCCATTAGCTATTCTCTTCTTTCCAACAGTATATCTTAATTGATTTTATTCGGCTTTTTTGGAGCAGTACTGGGGTTTGAACTCACAGGTGCTCCATCCCTTGACCAACACCTGCAGCGATATATTTTATAAATGTCCATGTATTCACTCAGAAAAAAAATCCCGAAGGAAATTTATCAAAATGCCAGTATTTCACATAATTATAGATTTCTTATTCTACATATTTCCCTGATTTTCTAAGCTAACATAAGCATGAATTCCTTCAAAATCACAAGACATGGCTATCATTAAAGGACCAATATGCATATTGAATTTAAGTAGTCATAAATAACCAAATCCTTATGTTTGGTGCAATGATTTCTCTAAATGACACGTCTATTTTCTTGTAAATTACATCTGAATATGAATATCCTATAAATAGCTTAGTGAAAGGACTTTTCCCAACCAGCTAAATTAACAGTCTCCATTTTGGTACTCACTGGAAATGTATGCACCACAGACATTAATGCAGAAAGGAAATGGTCACTGGCACCTATTAACTGAAAACATGGAGAACATGGAAAGCCCCCAACATTTCATAAATATCTGTGCTCGTGCTGTCACTCCTATGCTGTGCATGGATGTGATTGTACAATCAACACAACAGAATTAATTAAACATATGGACAATTGATCTCTTAGGGAAAAGTTTCACTGGAGCAGGAAACTATCATTCACTAATTCGTACAAAATATTTGGAAAATGTTACCTAACACAGATCTCTAGAGAGAGTTAGAAAGTATAAATGCAAAACCTAACTCAACATCTTAAAAGAAACCTGACAGTCCTCGCACCACAGTCTCACTAATCCAAGTGTTGGTCTTGTGAACACATGACACAGAGTTCTTTTATCTTTTCCTCGACTCCTAACGCTGCTATCAAAATCCAGCTTAAATTCGGGCAGAATACATGGGAAAGAGTGATGGAATCCTTCGAGTTTTCCAGAAGTTTAAACAAGGAGAAAGCAAAAAAAAAAAAAGGGAGGGGGGAACTGAATAACATCCTACAGGTGCCTCTGCCTAGACAAGCACAAACCAACCTCAGAAACACAAACCCTACTTCTATCTATAAAGGAGCACAAATTTTGCCTGAGACAGAAGCTAGCCAGTACTTCAATAGCGTTCCTACCATTATGCTAAATAGATATACAGTGCTCCTGAAGTGAAAAAGAAAGGTTGACATATAAAAATGCATGAGTAAACACGTTTCAGAAAAAATCTCAAAGGTATGTTTGATAAGGGTATGTTTTATCATATTTTTTTAAAATTTTTGATGGTTCTGGGGTTTGAACTCTGGGATTCATGCTTTGCTGGCAGGTGTTCTACCACTTGAGCCACAGCCCAAACCCTATTTTCACACTCCAGCCACAAATCACCTGCTAACTGTGTATTGCTGGTGCCTAGGAAAACAGGAAGGAGCTGGCTGGATGTGTTGAATGTAAACAACCAAGGAGCAAATAAATCCAGTGAAATGTCTAGGCGGGTTTCAGTAGTTTGAGAAACTGGTTTTACTGGAGAGGAAGAGATGAAATGAACCTGGGATTTTAGAAACATATGCAGAACAAGCTTGCATCATTTGCGTGTTTGTAACATCAAAGGGAATGAGATGGGAATATATTTACAGGGAATCCAAAGTGACTTGTTCTATCTTACCTTGGAAGACCGGAAGGTAAAAGCTGTTGATTTTACATCAGCTTTTTCTTTGTCCATGAGGAGAAGGTTTTTGTCTTCCAAGAGACTTAGGTACTTTCCTGTTGTGACATGGCGTAGTCGGAATGGTTGACCCCACCTTATGTGGCTTCCACTCCACCTAGCAAAAAAGTAACCATAACTTGGTTCAACAGCATCTGCCATCACAGAGGTAGAAACTGAGGCGTATGAGCAAGATAACATGTGTGTGTGTAGAGTGTGAGTGTAATTAAGCTGCCATTTTTATAGCATACAAGGTAAGGGAAATATATCTATATATTTGAAGTCCCTTTCCCTAACTTCTCTGAATAATTGTGAAATAATACAAAAGTATGAGCTTTTCTTCCATTTACCTTAGTCTCTCTTGGTTTTCCGTCTGATTGAGAGACACATGTCCAACAAAAGTTTACTTTTAAGCTCAATATTTATCAAAAGTTTTAATATTTAGGTGGACTTGATCAAATGTATATCCATATCCAAGAAAAGTAATGCTATCAATCATTAATAATTAATTATATTGATATAGAACTGTTTAAAGTTACAGACTAACAAAACATAAAAATGTATATAAGCTTTTTGTTGCAAAGGAGTGTGACAGAGTGAACAGGATATCTGTTAATCACAGACCCCACTACTTGGGATAAAATGTTACAAGAGAGTAACAGAAATGGGAGTGGGAGGAAAAGTATACATTTTCATTGTTAAACAAGATGGTATTCAAGTATTTTTAAGGAAAAAAAGTGAGTAGGAAATCACAACAGTATTTGTTGTCAATTGGATACTTTGAAAGAACTGTAACATTTTATTTTAAAGTGCTGTTCCTGTAATACACTGGAAGTTATCATCCATGCATCTATTTAAACTGATCATGAAAATTTCCATATGAACCTTGAAATGTTTAAGGATGTACAAAGATTTTCAAAATTACTATACGTGGGCTGGAGGAGTGGCTCCAGTGGTAGAGCACCTGCCTAACAAGCATGAGGCCCTGAGTTCAACCCCCAATACTGCAAAAACAAACAACAAACAAAATACATGGAATATCTCAGCAAAACCAACTAGAGACCTCAAAACTATTTTATTTTTATCATTAGACAGATAATAATGTCACATAAAAATCTATAAAGAGCACTACTCTAGTAAGAAAGTCCTTCACTGCAACCCAAGAGTCTATAATTCTATCTTAATAATTTCCTTAAATTGTAATATAATAAGGTGCTTTTTAGACAAGGACTAATTCTTCCATCTATTAAATTCTAACTGATATTTTAATTCTATTTTAAGCAGTTTAAAACTACCTACTTTATCATCGGTATTGAATTAATTTAAAGTAACTAAAATGCAAGCTTCAGACAGCTTTTGAACTCACCAGAAATGTCTGCATGTATGTTTGTGAATTCTTATGCTATCATGGATACCTACAATCCATATCTCTATCTGCACATAAACACAGTGACAAACAGTGACTCTTCTCCTGTCTTTCAAGATCAGGGTTTCTCTGTTTCACACATCCATTAGGTTAAATTGAGAGTCCTTCTGAGCTGAAGTGGATGACAACTGCAGACACTTGTCCTGCCTGCAAATCTTACACCACTCTGGCCCAGCAGCAGCCTCGACAGGAGATGCAGGGTCTGGGATAAAGCAAAGGAGACTGAAGACAAAGGCATGCCATACAAAACTGGCATTTCTCAGGTCTAAACCCTAGTGAACCAAGATAAACAAAGTAGGCAGACTGGGGAAGAGGAGACACAACTCTCCAGCACTTCCTGGGTGTTTGGTTTGCTTGCGTGCTGGGGTTGTTAACAGGACCCTCTTGTAAGGAAGCAGTGGCCTAGGACACAGAGTGCTCAGTGCCCCTGGAGCCCAGGCTGGGTTCAGAAGTCTACTTACGCCACTCTTAATGTCTCTAGCCTCCAAAGGGAGCGTGCATGAACAGATACGGCCCCACCTTCGTAATGGACAGTTCTGTAAAAGAAAACAAGTCCAATTTTGTGTTTCACAGATTTCATTCTTTGAACTCTAGTTTTCAAGCAAGTTAAAAGAGACAGCACATAGGACAGCCTGCAGGTAAATAGTTACAGCCATAGTTTTTGGCAGGAGCTCATATAAGTAAAAATAACAATAACATAATCGACATAAGTTTTCCCTGAAAAAAACCACTTATTTAAAAATATTCTCTCACTGTCTCTTCTTTTCTCTACTCCTAATAATTTCTCTCCTTTTCCTCCCCCAAGAGAATAGACTTCACCTTTTTCTTCCAACTTAGGTCCAAGGATGTACTTGCTTATCCATTCAGGTGCAGCTGGATTAGATTATTACTTATATGAAACACATAATTATTTACAGCTCTCAAGCATGTTTTAGATATTTAAAACATTTCAAAGAAACAAAATAACACTAATCTTTAATATTTTAAAATGCAATCTGCAATTTATATCAAGTCTGCCACTTGTCAGAATGTCACAAAGTCACAAAAAAAGAAACACAAAAGTCACAAAGAAGGAACTTCTCTGACAGTCTGTTAATATGCCAAGCACGAAGCTAAGTAACTTGCATACATTATCCAAATCGATGCTCGTGTTGACCCTTTGAGAATGTTTTAAGGAAACTGAAGTATGCTTCTTTCCTGAGCACTGGGGCCTCCCTCTCAGAAGGATCTGCTCATCACATAAGCACAAGCAAGCCCGTCCTGTCTCACACATAGCAACATGTCTGCCCCCTTTCTGACTCTCTGGCACCTTCTGTCAGTCTCAGCGTTTTCCAGTTGTCCTTTCAGACCATTGCTCCACTGAGACAGACATTGCTAACGTCATCAAATGACCTTTTTCCAGTTATCAGATGAAAGGTCTGTGCCATCTGTCCTTCCTACAGTGCTTTCCAGAGCCTGGATTTTGAAGATTTCATTCCCATGGTGTTTTTTAACATGTACCCCAAAATTGTTAGTTAGAACTACAAATCTAGATGCTTGTTTAAGTTAGATTTGGGGAGCAAGAATAGTTCAGAAATTGGCTTTTGCCCTTTTGTCATATCAGCACAGGAAGTACATAATGTCTACTTTATTTTTTATGTCAGAATCCATCCATGATTTCAGGATCTCCCTTTCAACGGATCCACGAGCAGTATCTACAGCAGTGATTTACAACCATGACCGCAGATAAGTCATTCCACAGATACCTTTACAAACTCCTGCATCCTCACCAGTGATCAATTAACCAGCTCTAGAGTCAGCTCTAGAGTCAGGCTCATTTAAACTCTCCACTTTGGGCTTTGGGCTAGGTAGATCTTTGCTGCTTGGCTGCCCTGAGTGGCACACTTACAAACCCCCGCCCTCTACTGACTAAATACTAACCTAGCTTCCCACCAGCTGTGACAACCAAAAACATCTCCGACAGTGCCAAATGTCACCTATGGGATAAAATCATTACTGCTACAGAGCCACTGGTTTCAATGAGTATTCTCAATCTTGGGCAGGGTGGAATTTCCTCAAGGGTTTCTTAAAACCCAGAGCAGGCACATGGCCAGAGTTTCTGATGAAGTAGGTCAAGGGAGGGGCCGTGAGTCTGTATTTTCCCCTAGCCCCCAGGGCCACTCGTGTAGCTGGTCCACATTTTGAGAACCATGGGGCCACACCTGTTATGTCCTCGGAGAGTGGTTCTTAAACTTGGTTGTTTATTAGAATCATTTGGCATCTTAAAAAAGGGTATAGACAACACTCAGAGTAATGAAATCAGTCTGTGGGTATATCCTGAAAAACAATGAACGACAAGATACAGACATTTTTTGTATATGTAGATAGGTAGATAGACAGACAAATAAACAAATGCACAGAGACACAGTTTTAAATAAGTCTGATCTTTAATAGAGGTCTTGTGCTTGATCATAGAGAACAATTACATTTTTTAAAGTAAAGCTTTTTACTCATTATATTTGCTGATCACAAACAATAAAATTTAGAAACAAATAATAAAAGATGATGAAAACACAACCATTTGGAAAATTAAGAAACTCTCCTAGATAATTCAGAGAGGGAATCAAAGGTACACCTGACCTAGAATAAAGTGTGCATTTCCTAACACATTTATGACTCACATGGGAACAGGAAACATTTAGCCTATAAGCCCTTAATTATTAAAGAAGAAATAGTGGAATTAAAGGAAGAGTTGTTTGGCGAGAATAAATAGAGAAGAAAATAAATGACCAGAAAAGGAAGAAGGGATTCTATGATGGACTGTGAAGACAAGTGCAGATGGTGTACATTTCCTATCCATCGATAAAGCACTATGCAGCTATCATAGATACACATATATATGGTTATATACCCATTGGACATAGAGAAAGGTGTTGAATAATGAGCAGCAGCATATTAATTACATAGGAATGGTACACAGAAATTAAGCTGGAAAATATAAAGACCTTTAAGATACAGATAACGTGAAGAGGGTTATATAAAATAATATATACACATATTGAAGTATATGAAGAATTATCATTCAAATATTATCTCCTTCATGACTTCTGTTTAAATTTAACAATCAGCCTTTGTTATTCATACAGGTAGAAATCCAATGGTAATTTTAGCTAAAAACACAAATAAAAAGTGTTAAAAAAAAAAAAAGTAGATTCCTATCCTACCTGAATCACTGTTAGCTCTACTCTAAATTTCTTCTTCCGTGAATTATTTCTCTTTATCTTTTAAAACACTCCATTGGTAGGTGCACAGAATCTGATGACCTCTTTCATGGATCCATTACTGATGGAGTCTGTTATTTTATTGAGTTTTCCATACAATGCACACAGTACATGCAGAATGTCATGGCTGTCTAACCAGGTCTTCATGGGATACTTCAGACCAAACATTGGCATCACAGTATCACAACCCTAAATGTAACAAGAATCTCAGTCCATCATAACAGCACTAGGACGTTCAAGCTCACATAGAAACTAACCCACCTGGAGGGTTGGTCCTACCAAGGAGGCTCCCCTTTTGCCTGCAATGCATCTCAGGTAAGTCCAGAATGACAACTGCTTTTACAAGCTTCTCAAATAGTATTATCAACTCTCAACTCAGACAACCAAATGATCATCTTAGGGCCATCACCCTTTCCACGAGGAAGAGTGAGAAGGGAACGAGATTCTTTAAGAAGTTAAACAGCCCTAGGGTAACATCCCCTGTGGAACTGATCATACAGGGGACTTCCATGAGAGCGGCAGGAATGACACCAAAACTGAAGAGGGGGTCAGTGGCTATGAAAATACAAAAATGGTCACAGGGCAGCTCTCTGCTCACTGAAGACTACTTTTGTCATGGACCTAAACAATGTTACAGCTGCTGGGAGAAAGAAAGTATGTTAAAATGACTGGACATAGAAATTACTTCTAACCCCAAAGTCTTCAACTTCCACCTCATAAATCACAAAAGGTCAGTCACTGCAATTTCACTACCTAGGAATTTTTAAAATAGTATTAATCAGTACTATGAGTCCACTCAGCAGTACTTTGAAAACTTCCAGGCTTCTGGCTATAAGTTAAACCGGCGTCACAAATTATCCTCAAACCTGGTACATTTCATTAACAAACTCCTATTTCAGGCTGACCACAGAAAACTGCCTGCAGAGGCCCTTTAGGATTATTCTGTTATAACTACAAATTTCCTATGCTATCTTCAATTCTCTTCCCTTAGTTATTATAATATTGTCCACTGAAATAAGGTACTTAGCTATTTTTTAATTCAGGGCTATAAAATATAATTTAAGGCTTATCTCAATTGCCAAACCGCTTGTTTTCTTAGTTAAAAAAAAAAAAAAAGCAGGCATTTTGACAGCTAGGATAGTACTTCTTCAGAATCTGAAGCCCAGAAAGACTACTTAAGCACACTAATAAATGCACAAATCCTTACAGGCTTCCCACAGCCTGACAGTGTGGTATTTATTCATAATAAAGTTTTATAGGACACACAATTCCAATTAGAGTCCTATAGTGTGGAAGCATAAAATATATAAACTGCTGCAAGGGTGAGTTCCACCACAGGGCACCTTCTCAAGATGATGTCACAGTCATGAGCTCATTTTTTTTTTTTTGGAAGGGTACCAAGAAATTGATAAGTCACTTTCATGTGTCATTATTGTTACCTTTCTGAAGACATCCCTTCACTGTGTGAACTTGTACAAGTTATGAACTCTGTGTCTCACCTTCCCTGGGTTACAAGGAGGGAGGAAGGAATGACGTGACCCATTTAGACCACTGGAAGTTCCTTGCATAGCCAGTGTCAGCTCTGAGGATGCAGGTGGGGATGTTGAAAAGCCTGTTGTCAATCCTCCCACATGGAGAGCTAAAGACTCGGTTATGTTTGCTTGAGTTGAATTGACTGTTGTCAAATCACTAGTATGACAGACTCATTGACATTCAAAGATATAATAAGTATGTATAAAACTGCTTGGGACAACATCTGTAGTCTTCGTTCCTGAGTCAGCCCACCCCAGTGTCAGCTTCCACCTGCCTGCAGTTCAATGGCCTATGTAGCACTTGGATCTCAGTTTCCTCCCTCCCTCCCTCTCTTCCTCTCTCTCTTTCTCAATAAACAAGCATAATTCCATACTGTTTCTGTGTGTCTGGAGTCTGAAATAGCTCAGCCAGGCCTTGGGGTCTATTATGAGGCTGTATGCGATACCCTGGTGGGTTGCAGTCACCTGAGGTTTAGGCTGGCCCTAGAAGACCCACTTCCAAGGTGGCTCCACCAGCAGGCTGTTAACAAGGGTCTCCATGTCCTCCCTGTGTGGTCCTCTCCAGGGGTCTGAGCATGTTCACAATGTGGAATGTCCTCACTCTTCTCAACCCCCTCCCTCCCTGACCCCACCACCATGCTGAATGGGTCCCCCCTGCAACAGGGCTTCTTGACCTTCTGGGGTCACACACTCACTAAGCTCTAGCGAGAATTCATGACTGTCCCTTGAGCAAACACATCACCA